AGGTTTAGTCTTGAAATTTCAAGGACGAAATTTCTTTAAAGAGAGGAAAAATTATAACATCCCAACTTTTGGACCTAGAAGTATCAAAATTAGCCTAAATTGGATAGGTTACTAGACTCATTTTGACAGAAGTCCTAAAAATGAGAAAGAAAGTCAAAGTAGTTTCAAGGACTAAATTGCAAAGTAAGAAAGTTACTAGGAGGCAAATGTGTAAGTAACGTTAAGATTCTAGAGAAGTGTTAAGGGCCCAGAAAGAGGAAAAAAGAAGAAGCTAGATACAGGTCTAAAGTTAAGTTAAAAATCTCAAAGAGATGGTTTTATGATTTTAAGTTTAAGCAGGGACTAAATTATAAATTCAGAAAGTTAAGGCCAATAGGGGTAAAAATAGAAAGTATACAAAAAATTTCAGAAAAAACCCAAAAAATGGGAAATAATATCCTAAGACTATTTTGTGAAGAGAAATGATAGAAATACCCCTAAGACAACTTAAATAGAATTGATAAGATTGTAGACGGTAAAGGTATACTATTTAAGGTAATTATTTAAAATAATAAGAGACCTCAAAATGTACATAAAAATAAGCTTAAATAGCTAAAAGGTCTTACTAATTTATAAAATTAGTCCCGCTCCCAAAAGGCCAGTGGAGTGGCTTTAATAAAATATAAAGACGATTATGTTGGTTAAGGGTGTTTTTGTAAATAATTTTTATGCAAGGCTTAAATGAAGTGTTATGGCCTAAGAAAATTTATACATATTCTCTAAAAGTAAAGGAAATTTATAGAGCAAATAGAATAATTTTTTGAGCTCCAGAAGGCCATTAAGGGAGCTGGATAAATGCAAGCCAAGTAAATTGAAAGGAAACTTGAAGATTAAGTTTTGATCTAGTGGTCAAGATTCATTCTTCATTCCTCTCCACTATATTTTTTATACCTAGCCCTTTTAGAAGGATGATGTAAGGGATGATACAAGAAGATGATGCAATGGTGATGCAAAAGTGCACTTGAAGTTTCAAATTTACCCTTACTCTTTCTAATAGCTTTCAAGGGCATTTTGGTCCATTCAAGGCCAAAATTTTAGGGAAAAATTACACAGGTCCCATAGAAGACAATTAATTTTGAAAAAGTCCCTGAAAATTCCTAAATGCTTCCTAAGTCCCCAGGGACCTTAGAGCAAAAAATTAGAATTGTGAAATTACCTACTTATCCATTCCTAATTAATTTGAGTCTAAATATTTTCCCTGCCTCAAACCCTCGACCCCTGCTCTGTTTGTCTCCCTTTAACTGTCACTTGTTTGAAAAACCACTTCCCTGGGGAGTTTGTGTTGCATCTGTCATTGGCATCGTGGGTTCATTGTTGGTTCTTTCCAAGTGAGTCCTTGTTCTACTCTCATTTTCTTCTCTGTCGTTGAACAATTCTATGGAATTTTGTTTTTACCGTTCTTATTTTTTCATCTCCCGTAACCTGTGATTACCTCAACCTGTCAGCAAAGGGAACTACTGCAGGTGAGCACAACCCGCCGCGTCTCTATTATCTTTACTACTCTCATATTGTCTCAACCATCGCCGTCGACAACCCATCTTCCTGAAAAGCCCACTCCGGTGCTTTGAGAACGCCATATAGTGAGAATGTTAGATCTAGCAACCATGATTTTTGCCTATGCTTTGTAATTTTTGCTTTTGTATCTGGCTTTTAGTATTCCAGTGTTGATGGATGGCAATTTTTGGCCTTATTGTAGAAATTATTCTTTTGGGTTCCTTGTAATAAAGTTTCGATTCCTTTTATTTATATATATATTAAGGATAACATTCAGATAATAGAGTTAGTATGTTATATGGGTAGGAGAAGCTAGATATCCTAGAGCTATCATAAAATTCATGAAACACTAATACTTTAGAAGTAAGCTGTTACATGTATTGTATCTCAGATTTTGCAGATAAAAATACATAGAGTAAAGTGGAACATAGTTGTCCTTTTTATTTTGCAGAAGATATTATTAGATTTCAATAGAAAAGAAAGTATGAAATAAAAATATCAAAGAAAGTCAAGCCTAAACTTCTCTATCTATTATGAACATCATAATTGGCTAAGATAGTGACAAGCAGTTGGGAACTTATAATGTGATGACAGTATTTTTTTTTCTTTTTTGCAGTTCAACAAAATGGCTAAGAAAAGTAAGAGCAAAGATAGACAAAAGCATAGGAACTTCTCAGGATACATAATATTTACTAAGAAATTTTATGAGAAGAACAAGAAGAAGTTCAAGTTTTTTGAAGAGGGCAGTAACTCTATGAAAAAGGCCTGGGGGAAGTTAACAAAAGAAGAGAGAGAACAATATAGTGAAAGGGCGAAAGAAATGAGAGTCCTACCAAAAGGGAAGAATTATATTGTTCTCTTCTACACATAGTATGCTCCGGGACAATTTATAGAAGTTTGCAAGCACTTAAAGGAAAGTGAACATAAGATGGAAAGGTTGAAAAGAATTAGTTTTGATAAATTGGTTGAAATATGCTACTCACAAATTTATAGAGATTTTTGTGGTGAATTGATTCGTGTTTGATCCTGTAAGTAAGAAAATTTCAATTCGAGGGAAGACACATGAAATAGGGCTCGGAGATGTAAATCAATTGATGGGCCTACCATTTAAGGGGAAAGAAATTAAAATGAATGTGAAGACTGAAGATGAAACATTTAAGGAATTAAGGAGTGACTACAGGAAAGGGCCATACAAAAAAATAGGAAGATGGTTGATTGAAGGCAAAGAGGATAAAAAGTTTGAATTCTTTTTTGTTATGTATGCATTAGGAGTCCTTTTGTGTCCTGACTCTAGTGTCTGGGTCAGTGATAAAGTATTGAAGGTCATAGTAGCGACAAATGATAGTTTAGGACAATATGATTGGAGCACCTTTCTCTTTAGAGAAATTTGCAACTTAATTGTAGAGTTCAAGAAAAGGAAAAAAGAAAGGAAAAGCTAATGGGACAAAAATATGAGAGGTTGCTTGTACTTTTTAATGGTAAGTGTGGGTATGATTCATTTACTTTGATATTAGTTGTATTGTCAATGTGCGATGTACTGTTATCAATGGGTGCTATGTATGTTGTAATTGGTTGCTCTGTATGTTGTCATTTACTACTATGTATGTTGTCATTCATTGGTATGGATTGTTATCAAATGCTTATGTGTATGTTGTGATTGGCTCATGTGAAGGTTGTTATTGTCATATGTGCATGTTGTTATTGGCCTCTGTTGGTTTGTCACTTGTTGATGTATATGTTGCAATTGGCTGCTGTGTATATTGTCAGTGGTTTCTGTTAGTTTGTCACTTGCTTATGTATATGTTGTAATTGGCTGTTGTGCATGTCATTGGCCTCTGCTGGTTTGTTAGTCACTTATGTATTGGTTGTAATTGGTTGCTGTTAATGGCATAAATGTAGGTTGTGATTGGCTGATGTGTAGTTTGTGACTGTATGATGTGTATGTTGTCATGGCTTAAGTGTGGGTTGTGATTGGCTTTTGTGCATGTTGTGAATGGCATGAATATAGGTTGTGATTGGGTTATGTGTAGGTTGTGATTGTATGTTGTATATGTTGTCATTCGGTTAAGTGTGGATTGTGATTGGCTTCTGTGCATGTTGTGAATGGCACAAATATAGGTTGTGATTGGCCTATGTGTAGGTTGTGATTGTATACTGTGCATGTTGTTATTCGGTTAAGTGTGGGTTGTGATTGTCTTCTGTGCATATTGTGAATGACACAAATGTAGATTGTTATTGGCTTATGTTTGGGTTGTGACTATGCTGTGCATATTGTCATTCGGTTAAGTATGGCTTGTGATTGGCTTTTGTGTATGTTGTGAATGGCACAAATGTAAGTTGTTATTAGCTTATGTGTAGGTTGTGACTGTATGCTGTGCATGTTGTTATTTGGTTAACTGTGGGTTGTGATTGGCTTTTATGCATGTTGTGAATAGCACAAATATAGGTTGTTATTGGCTTATGTATAGGTTGTGACTGTATGCTGTGCATGTTGTCATTTGGTTAAGTGTGGGTTGTGATTAACTTTTGTGCATGTTGTGAATGGCACAAATATAGGTTGTTATTAGCTTATGTGTAGGTTGTGACTCTACGCTGTGCATGTTGTCATTTGGTTAAGTGTGGGTTGTGATTGGCTTCTACGCATGTTGTGAATAGCACAAATATAGGTTGTTATTGGCTTATGTGTAGGTTGTGACTGTACGCTGTGCATGTTATCATTTGGTTATGTGTGGGTTGTGATTGGCTTCTGTGCATGTTGTGAATGGCATAAACGTAGGTTGTGATTGGCTGATATGTAGGTTATGACTATATGCTTACATGTTTTTTGGTCAAGTAGGGGTTGTGATTGGCTTCTGTGCATGTTGTGAATGGCACAAATATAGGTTGTAATTGGTTGATGTGTAGGTTGTGTGCATGTTGTCATTCGGTTAAGTATGGGTTGTGATTGGCTTCTATGCATATTATGAATGACACAAATGTAGGTTGTTATTAGCTTATGGGTTGTGACTGTATGCTGTGCATGTTGTCATTCGGTCAAGTGTGGGTTGTAATTGGCTTTTGTGTATGTTGTGAATGGCACAGATATAGGTTGTGATTGGATTATGTGTAGGTTGTAATTGGCCGGTGTGTGTGTTGTTAGTGGTTTATCTGCATGTTGTCATTGTTGCATAGCTAAGTTATCATTTTCTTGATATGCAGATTTATTGCTTACAATACTTTCTTTTGGGAAAGAAAATGCTTCAAAAAATGAGAATGCCATTATCTATTAGTGACAGAGGCTTACTACATGGTGTTACCAATATCGGTGGGGCTTCAACTAGTGTATCTAATACAGAAATAAAGTTAACCTACTTGGTAAGTAAATAATGTTGAGCTTATTTTGGTGTTGTGTACAATTTGGAGTAATGATTAATTTAATTATTGTTATTTTACAAGAAATAAAGAGAATGTATGAAAGGTTGGTGACAATGGTTGAAGGGTTGGTGTCGACAATTAGAGAAGAGTTGGCTTCTTTACAGTTGAGGTTAACAGATGAGAGTGAGAAGGAAGATGTGGTAGAAGCAGTAAGTAGCGAAGATGATGAAAAGAACTCAAGTGAAGATGAAGAAACTGGTAGAGATGGTAAAGGAAGCTCAAAAGATTCAATAGATGAGGAAGAACAGAGTAAACTAGAAAAAGATTATAAGAAAGAGGAAAAAAGTGGTTCGCTTGAAGAAGAAAGTAAATCTAAACATGAAGAGAATGGAGAAGGGAGTGAACTAGAAAAAGATGATAAAGAAAAGGAGAAAAGTACTCTGCCTGAAGAAGAGAGCCAATCTCAACATAAAGAGAAAGGAGAAGGGAGCGACTCTGAATTAGAGGATGATGGAGAAAAAGAAACTGAAGACAAGTCTAGTGATGTAGTAGCAAAAGAGGATAAGGGGGAAGACAATGATGAGGAGGGAAAGGATGAAATGAACAAGGAAGCACAATAGCAAATAGAAGTAAGAAGATCAACACGGGTGAGAAGCTGTGTAATTGGTTAGAGGAGGTGAAAAAAGGCCGTGGTAAGAGAAAACTTGATGAGAAAGAGGAATTATTCCACATGCTAACGGCAAGACGTGATGAAGATGAAGGTGGCAAGTAAGTGTTGGGATTGATTCTAATTAGGACAACTAACAGACAATATTTTTAGACATACAACTTAATTGCTGATTATTTCTTTTGCTGTAGGTATATTGTAGAGATGTATGGGTACTTTCTGACATGTACTGAGCTTTGCTGCCTACAAGATAGGAAATGGATGAACGATAGGGTAAGATAGTTGTTTACATAGGTAGAGAAGTAGCAATGTCATTATGATTATGACTAATTATTTGTGTTTGTGATATAATTCATGTCTATGGTGGTGAGAACTTTGGTGGGAGATGAGAAAAAGAACTATGGTCGTGTCAGTAGGCACATATTTTCACCTGAGTTCATGCAAACAATGGCCGCTGGTCCTCTTACATAGAGCATGGAAAACCATGAACATGAAATCTTACTAGAGTACTTAGGATATAACATTGGAGATTATGACTTCATATTTGGCCCCACCCTTTTCAATTACCATTGGTTCTGTTATGTGATGGATGTAAGAACTATGCGTTTCTATGCCTTTGATTTATTAGTTGATAATTCGACCATGTTGAGAATACAAAGAGAGGAAGAAGATTCAATCAAAATGGGAAAGATACTAAAGAGGAAGCAAGGGTTTAGGAAAGGACAGATAGATCCTAAGCAATTCATGGCAAAAGGGATTATATGCATAACTTTTCATTCATTATATTACTTGTTAATTTGTTATGGTTGCTTGTCTGTATAACTGTCCTGGTTGTTAATGCCTACTGATTACTTTTCATTCGCTACTGTCAAGATTGTTAGTGCTACTTGTCATTCACTACTGTTAAACCTGTTTCTTTTTTTTTTCTTTCTTTTTTACAGAAAGATTATTTCTACCAAGTGCTTCGTGTAGTGAAGCCAGCACTATTTCAGGAAGAGGACAAAATTGACAAGGATGTCACATGAGCAAAAGTTCATGTGCAATCTGACACGTGAGTTGTTGTTGTACATTGCAAGTTTGTGTGTTTAAGCTTTTAGGAGCTAAAGTTCATTGACTAAAGTACTGGTTTTTCCTTTGCAGGAACTCTTATGGGGTTCATGTTTTCAGTTGGTTACAAATGTGGGATGACATAGAGCATGGTGATGACGGCTACACAATGCCTAGGTACTCCCCTCAAGAAATCCATGACTTGAAGGTTGGGTTCTTATGGCGCCTCGTAACTCATCGGACCAACCTACATGGTGATTAAGTGCTGTCTTTGCTATGAGGAAACCCCCAAAGCAAGAGGAAGAAATAAACGACGAGCATAAATTGTATCTAGTTCTTTTTATTTAACAGCATAATGGCAGGTGAATGTAAAGTTTAGATTTTGATTCTTCATTTAACCATGTAATGATAGTTGGATAGATATGTTAATGTGTATTGACATCCTTGATTGGTTATGATGTTTTTGTAGTAGCATTCATGTGTTTTGACAAGAGAGGACATTCTTCGTTCCACACTCTGATCATCTCCATAAATGGAGAGTAAATAAATTGTCCTAAACAATGGTAATCATGATGACATGATAGGCATAGATCACAGTCCTCTCTGCCACATCCATTTACAATCTCAACAGGGGTTGTTGACAACTCCAACACAAGTGGCTAAAAACATGGGCAGTACCCCTCACAACTCACTCTGTGGGATACTATAGCTTCTAAATAGATTGTATTATCAGCATATATAATGACCTTAACAAAAAAAATTAGGAGCATTTTGAAGTCATTAACAGTTTTAACTGTACATAATAGGATTACACTAGATTTCTACTGCATAAGTTCATTTACAACCTCAACAGGAGTTGTTGATAACCCAAACACAAGTGGTTAACAACCTGGGCAGTGCCCCTAACAACTTACTTTGTGGGATACCATAGCTTCTAAATAGATTGTATTATCAGCATATAAATGACCTTAACAAAAAAATTGGGAGTATTTTGAAGTCATTAACAGGTTTAACTATCGACAATAGGATTACACCAGATTTTTACTGCATCAATTCATTTACAAATTCATAGACACTACCGTGAAGTAGCCTTATCATTGCATATGCATGAACACAAGGTGCTCCACTCATTTGCCATGCTAACCAAGTGCATTTGTGTGTCGTGAGATCAACAGTGACACAAATTATTCCAATAGGAGATGTAATATGAACTTGAACTCGATTATCTCTATAATATACACTATACATATTCTCCGCTCTTGCTACTTTTTCTTGCAACTTGGACTCAATATTTGGCGTAACGCTATTTATTCAATTTCCCATTGCTATTTTGCTTGCAACCATCTTCTTGGCTAATTTCTCCATATAGTCATGCATGAGAACTAACACATTGTGCTTCCTCTCCTTTAAAATCTAGGCATTAAACGACTCCGTAACATTAGTAGTGATGTTATTCCATCATTTAAATGGAAACTTACTTAAAGCCCATCGATCTACATCTCCTTGAGTCTCAACCTAATCAGCTAATTGTGGACAAAATGATCTAAGTTTCTCTATTACAGCAACATATTCATCCTCAATCCTCGTGAAGGTGGTTCTATCCAGCATTTTCAATGTGACCTCCTTTGAAGTACCTGAAACTCATCCCCTACCTTAGTTAATTTTTAAATAATACGCACTAAAATTTTCTTTCACACGCCTGTAGCAAAAAGTATGTCTCTCGCCACCAAATATTATCCGCACAGTACATATAATGGCATTATTCTGATATGAAATTATTGTTCTCTCCACTAATCTTATTATGTCTTTGACATTCTAGAGAAACCAAGCCCAATCATCATATGTCTCCCTACTGACTATATCATTTGCTAATAGAAGTAGTTCATTGTTTGTATCATATGCATTAGCTGAAATCAATGTCCCCCTATAAAGACCACTTAGATGACATCTGTCTATATAAAGTATATTTTGACACCCTTCTAAAAATCCATTAATTGAGCATCCATAAGCAATAAACACCCTCTTAAATCTATTACTATCCAACCCTTCCCATCGAGCAATTGTGTTTAGATCAGTTTCAATAAGCCTTTCACAAATCTAGGAAATCACCATATATGAATCCTGTGCACGATGATGTATTTCCCTCAATGCTGTTTCTCTACCCCTGTATGCTTGACTATAATTCAATCACATCCCATATTCTCTATACAAATCTTTTCTAATTTCATTAGCATTCTTGTCTTTATTACACCTCAAAGAATCTATCCTGATTGAAGATGTTAAGTTTGACCTTCTAGAGTGAGATACAACGAAGCTGTCCTGCGTATAATGCACATGCTAACTTCTTAATGTTTGTATTATTAAGAACTTAGAATCTTCTCTTTGTCCCATTGAGTATGCACCCATGTACCATGGGTATCCCTTCGCCATACACTTCACAATGATCTTTTGTTGATTGTTCCTTATAAATTTGCATGAAAACTTCTCAACAATACTGTACCTATATAGTGCTTGCCTAAGAGCCACTGCATTAGGAAAAATTTGTCCTTCTCTAATAACCGAACCCTTCCACTTTGTTGAATTCATTTCTAGAATTGGGGTTAGTATCATTTTTGAACCACATGGCAATGGTAGTGGGTCTTCACTAACCACATTGGGTGGAGATGTTTTGATGTGTCTTAGCAAGTGTGATGAACAAAACTTCCTTTCCCTCTAAACATCCAGTTCGGCCAGCCATCAAAGGAGAGAAGAAACATATTTTTCAACCATAGAAAGAAAGAAAACCAAGCAAGATCCCATCTAGAATCCTTGGTAGTATGGTCAAAGGTGCAAGCTTTCTCTTGTTTACACTTGAAGATCACTCTTTTTCTCTCCTTCTCCCTCTTGGACGAAATGAATCTGAATTAGGGGGAGGAATAGCTTTCTCTTCAAGCCAAAATATCCCAACTACCATCCATTAATGCTATGCCATGTGTCAAGTGCTTACTTAATCTTTCATAATTAATAAAATCTAAATGAAATTAATTACCAAAAGTCAAGATCTTCTCCATTTGAGGAGTGACACTTGGCAAGTTCAAATCCTCTCCATTAGGGGCTTGACACATGGCTCAATGTGATCCATTTGATTTGCAAGACTTTAGTCTTGCTTTATCAGTATACTGTGGCTCTGAGTTTAACTTCTTTTCTATAATTATAGTAGTTTGGCCTCTGTAATTATTTTCTATCAGATCCTTAATTTATTCTCCTCATTTTTATCTTCCCAAATTGCCTTCTTTGCCTCAAAATTAATTTCCTCCTCTTTAGGGATTTTTCCACTTTTCACAAGTATTTGGAAAAATCTTAGATACTTGAGGGTCTTCATTTAATTCCATAATCTCATATAATTCCTTGGGGTTTCATAGAAATTTTCTTGGAATTTTATTCCTCTTAAAATATTTATTTGGAATTTTCCAAATAAAATCCCTTAATTTGCCTAAATCACACTTTAAATTCTCTTATAATTTCTCTAAGGGTAATTTGGTCATAAAACCAACTTTATAATTTCATATAATCCTCAAGGGATATTATCCTCATTTTTCCTTAATTTTCCAAGACTTGGAAATATTTCTCCATAATTACTTTTGACCAATTTTCCTTAATTAGTCAAATTTCCATAATTGGCTTGGAAAATCATAATAAATATTTTCCACCAAAATTCTTCTACTTCTCCTTATCATTTTTAATCCTCAATAATTTGAGAATATTTCTTATCTCTAATCACCATAATGCTGGATGTGACATTAATCAAATGTTCCACTCCTTCATCATCTACAAGGTCCACAAATGTATACTCATCAAAGGTTACTATGAATTTTATAACCATTCTATTACTTTCTTTTCCCACAATTAATGCTACCATTGTTCTAA